TGGAACATGTCCACGGGTGTTTGAGTACAGAGCCTTTGACAGAGTTAAGTACTTGCTCGGTATCCTCTTCAGTGAGAGATAAAACCATTAGACGTCTTGATTAATGTAACAAAATGTCGCCTTCAAGTTGAGAAATACAGCCAGTGTCTGATATCAGTGAGTGCGTGTGTTCCAGAAACTGATAGAATGTGAATATGAAGTCGATACAACCGCGACCAGGTTTGATACCTACTAGAATTTCTCGCATGCTGGCCTCATTGTGTAACGATTAGCAGATTTGACTTTGAGCTCATCAAGTCGGGTTGGAGCTATGTCTCATTGATTTAGGGAGTTGACTTGCAACCAAACAGCTACGGATTCGAACACCACCCCAACAACCGATGTTTAGGCAGGTAGGTAGTAACGTTCCCACTGACGTAACAGATGTGGCTTATTGCCTACTATACGGTGTACAAAGTTGCTGACAACGGAGGGCTGATTAGTCAAAAGGTACTAGTGAACAATAGAAGTAGTCTGAAACCACCGACATTGATCTGCAGGTTTCGACAGCCAGATCAGTGTTATCTAAGCACCGGATGCCCATTTTGCTCGTTTGCAACTGAACTAATGAGTAGCATACCTCAACAAGTTCTACTCACAGAGCCAAATTGTCCAGACTAACTGAGAATTAAGGCTTTAGTTGTTAAAAGAATCCGCTAAACTGATGACTGCATTTGGGAGTGAACATCAACAGTGGTACAGTAACTGAAGATATTCATGATGAACTAACTAATTCAAGAAAATATGTAGCCGAACAAAATAAGTTTTTTTAATTGGACCATTCAAGACATATTCAACTGGTTAACCCAATAACATATTCTATGATAACGAAGTTGCCTGAAAATCTTCAAGTTACCATCATGATATTCCAAAGATTAAACAAACGGTTAAACGACCTCAGGTTTACTTTATGTTGCAGACGTATACATTTTGTATGACTTTCGAAGATTAAAAATTTCGCGTATAATTACAAAATCGCTTTATTACAGACAGTATTCTTGATACAGAGTGTGGTATTCTTAGTATGCAGTATTTTACTCCCTGTGTAGTACTTTCAACAAGAAAAGTAGTGACAGCATTTAGGCAATTGTGATAATAACAGTAGTGAAAGCAAATGATATGATGATGACTAACTGTTGTTACGTGTTATCGTCTACGTTTTGGGTATATTGTTGCAGTGGTGTACTAACTGAAAGCATGCATAAGTCTGTCGGTAGGCATTCACCTGACCACCACAAAAATCAAAAGATCAACCTAACTATTCTAATAAACATTATGTGGTGTAGTTATGAACTTATAGACTTATTGCTACTTACCCTAATGTTTTCTCTCAGTAACGTTCGAAATGACAAGTTGAATACATTTCCAAAATGGACTATAGAACATAATACAGTTTGAAGAAATATATTTAAGTCATTAAGATTAGTTTAACAAGAGAAATTTGACGTAATATACATATATTCGGTCGGAAATTTTCCGTATTTCAAGATTGAACCATGAAACCAGCATAGTTGAAATCAAACCACGAACTAAGAAGTAATGGACAGCTTCAGTGTCTGGATTTTTATAGTTCACTGAGCGAAACTTACATTCTCTTCACTTGAAAGTGATGCCATAACCAAGACCTTTCTTTGCTTTATTTTTGTTCAAGTTGACATAAGACAAATAGCAAAAAAGGGAATAAATAAGTAAACTCTGTACTTCACCTTGTTTGTTCGTTGAGCTTCAAAATAAATAGGCAAACCTGATATACATGAGTAGCGAAGCTTAAAATGTCAACGAGAAATACAGGAAGTAATATATATATATATATATATATATATATATATATATATATATATATCCGGAACAGGCTGGTTGGCTGGCTTCAGGAAGAACAAATCATGTGCGGATCAAATTGAAACGCTACGCATCATCATAGAATAGAGCATAGAACGGCAGTCAACTCTCTACCTCAACTTTATCGACTTTGAAAAGGCTTTCGACAGCGTCAACCGAGAAGTAATTTGGCAACTGCTCCAACACTACGGAATGCCACTAGTCTTCATCAACCCATTCAACAGCTATATGACGACGCCATATGCCAAGTGAACCACAAAGGACAGTTCAGTGATGCCTTTGAAGTGAAGATAGACAGGAGTAAGACAATGTTGCCTACTACCACCCATCATCTTCCTGATTGTGGTCGACTGAACTGGACTGCATCATGCAACAAACCATGAGGAGCTGTGGGAAGACGAGCATAAGCTGTTTGACCGATGAAATGACTCTAGAAGATTTGGATTTCGCCGACGATTTATGTCTGTCTAATGTCACACAAACTCGAAGATCTACAAGCAAAAACCAACAAATTGACAGAAGAGGCATGGCAGCGAAGACGGGACGTCAAGTGAATGTAGAGGAGACAGAGGTGATAAAGATACCCAGCCAACAACAGCATCAACAACAAGAGGCACCAATCACCATGAACGGGAGAAACCTAAACAAAGTTGTCTCTTTCACCTACCTAGGCGTGGCAGCATCCTTTCAACTACAAGTGGCACAGACGAGGATGTCAAAACCAGGATCGGAATGATAGCAAGACAGGCTTTCATTTATCTGAAATCATTGTTGAGATCTACTGCACTCAGCACAAAGAATAAGATCCGGATTTGTAATACCAATATCAAGTCAGTGCTGCTATATGGTTCAGAAACTTGGCGCGTTACGAAAAGCATTTCCAACAAACTACAGACATTCATCAACAGCTGCCGTCTACGCTGGCTCGATACTGACACTGAGGGTCAGATGGCCAGATTAATAAGAACAAGCAACAAGAAACTCTGGCCTGGTAATGAACCAACCAAGAACCTATTACCCAAAAAATATGCAGAAGAAAGTGGAGATGGATTGAGCATGCACTGAGAAGGCCGACTGGAGACATCACGCGCCAGGCCCTCGAGTGGAACCCAAAGGGGAAACGAAGAGTTGGCCGTCCGAGGCAAGGGTGACATGGAAGAGACCATGTGAAGAAGAAATGAAAGCTTGTGGGCAGTCATGATGCCAGGTCCAAAAGACTGTAGAAAACATAGTGCAATGGAGACGTGACACTGAAGCAGTGTGTTCCAATAGGAACCCAAGCGAAAAATAATAAAACATATATATATATATATATATATATATATATATATATATATATATATATAATTTCTTACTATACTTGTGTATCCGATTTATAGTAGCGTATTTTAATAAGTATATTCCACTTAGTGTATAATCAAATGTAATACCTACTGGGCTGGAGATCTTCTATGGGTTTTCTTTAGACGTTGAATAACACGATAAAATATGTTATGGGATTTTCGGAATTCAGTATTATTCAGACTTGTATTTCAATTAATTTGTATTTAAATGGTTTCATTTACCTTTTCATTGTGTCAGTTTATCTAATATTACACTGGAACGTTCACCACTGTAATACTCAATAAGCAGAAAACATCAACCCTCATATCAATTAAATCGTGTGTTGTGTTTCACTTTGTAAGCTAATTACTATAAAAATAGTAGATTACAATTCCTAGTCAGTGATATATTTTCAGCTATTCATAAGCCATGCGTGATTTGGGTGATGTGCGATCATATTGGTGCATGAATAATTTTATTTATTATCACTCACACTAATGCACAGTTCTTTAGGGTGAAGCAATACTATTCAGGCACTGGTGGGTAACATGAAACCTTTCCTTCAAATCGGTGTTCATCATGGACTGACATCAGTAAGAGAATAACTAAAAACCTGGTAGCATTGAGTAGCTGATTCATCCTGGTACATGACTCTGCAGAAGTGCACATCCACGACCACACCCTCCAGGGATCGGATCAACGATATTCTGGTTTCGAGGTCAGCTCGTTGCCTTTGATCTACTGGGTTAGAATCTAATGCCCCGCATTTTCGTCTTCATGTAGTGCTATCATTGACTACCTGTTTGCACGTCCGACATGGTTTACCCCATTGGTTACGACTATTCATTAGAACTTCGGGAAATTTCATCTTGACGCAAGTCAAAAATGAGCACTGGGCAGTAATTTGATTCACTTTGACCGCTTGATTTTCTAGATAACTCTTTGTTAAAGAGACATCAGATAAATTTTAGATATTTCAAGATGAAACGTTATACTGTAGTTTAGTGTAATTTTTACATATTTTACTGGTGTAGTGTTATCTCAAGTCATTACATTGATCAGTTTTCACTATCTACAACTATTATTGAATTTTACACAGTCATTGTTTAAACCTCGTCTTGAGTCATTAGACAGTGCAATTACCAACCGATTAAAAGATAAAGGAGATTTACAATAACCCACCTATTTTACTTTTGATACTTCAGCGAGTTGGTACACATCACTCATTTCCCATACCAATTACGTACCACTGAGCAGTATTGTTTTTCTTTACTTGCAATCGATCATCATGATATATTGTCCCAAATTTTCCACTTTATTTCTTCTACAAAGATATCATGATTCACTGTTCTTCAGTTTCAGTCGATAGATCGATCGTCACTTCAATAAACTGTTAAACAATAATTGAATATTCACCTGAGTTCATGAAAGTAGCATCTATCATATTAAGGGAAGAAAATTGTTGGGTCATATGTTAGGCTGAAAGTATCATACACAGTAATTATCTATAGTTCTTCGAGAAATGCCATGAGACTTGTTTGAGTCAATGCTGATCAGGACGTCAAATTAGTTCTGATGCTTTACCGAAGACATCTTCTGAATGGTCAGTATATGATTGGTAGATGAATGGTTAGTATTACTCTATATGACATGCATACTCCTTAGTATATGTCAAGTGTATAGTCAACAGGACTTCAGAAAATTCCTTACATAAATCTATATTGCGCATTGCAGTCTCTTTTATCACATAATTATCTAGTGCTTTTACTTACTCTCTTCCTTGAAATATATCTCAACAGGTGTACTTTCGGTTCTCCCGTGGAACTTTAAATGATCCCTTCACTTATGATTATTACAAAAACAAAGAACTTTTAGTACAACTTCAAGCCCGTTGCAGAGGGTGGATTTCTAGGAATAAATCTTCTCGACAAAAGGTAAGAGTTTTTTGCAGTTTATTTCTGTATTTCAGGAATCCAGTTATTTGAAGTTAGTTTTCATCGCATAGTCATTAGTGCTCGTGAGCCAATCTTAAGGAAAAATGACCACTAATTTAGTGTAACTGCTCGGTATAAAAGTTATTACTAGACAAAAATTTGATTTATTGAAACCATCTGAATCGCAACTGCCACATCTTTATGGTTTGTCCAAAGTACACAAACCCCACAACCCGTTACGTTTTATGACATCAATCTACAAAATGCAGACGCATAAGTTTGCTCAGTGACTAATGGAATTATTGGGTCCTCTAAGGAAGCGATTCTCCAAGTATTTCCTAGAAGATACATTTGAAGTAATCAAATGCTTTTACGATGTCAACACAAAAAGCAAATTTATGTGCTCATTAGACGTTAAGTCACTATTCATCAATATCCCCTTGGTTCAAGACAAGTGAAGTTTGATGTGATTATATATTTCTGTGCATAATTTTCCAATGCTCATTTCTTTAGATCACCTAAAGGACCTACTACTTTTATATGCAAGTAATATTAAATTTACATTCAAGAACGAAGATTCTCGTCAGGTTGATGGCGTTGCCATGAGGAGTCCATTTGGGCCATATCTTAGCAGACACCTTTATGTCACACCTGAAAAACTTATCGCAGAACCGAATCGAGCAAGCTCATCTTTATCGAACATATTTCCACCATATCTTAATTATTTGTGATAACTCAAGTCAGTCAGCTTCAACTCGAAACCAACCGAACGGAGTGTAGGGCAGTATGTCCTTGATATATGTAGTAGAGGATGATGACTACTTGCCTATCTTGGACATATCGATTAGTCGAAACGGAGAAGACAGAACATTGACTGAAACGCTGTTGGAAAATAACTGTCTATCAAAATTTATTAGGCAGCATAAAATAACCAGAAAGCCAAAACCATCCCTTCACTTTGTCTCAAAGAAAAATGCCTTAGTCAGTCTTCTGTAGAAAGGTGACTCTCAGCACAGTCCTTAAGGAGAAAATTAGCGTTGCTATTAGGATTTACTATGCAGCTAAGGTTTGATTCATACAAACCATCAAGCCTGTATATTCCCTCAAACCCTCACCGCATGTGAACGACAATGTCACATCCAACTGCATCCATTAATTCAAATGTACGTATGTTGATTCATACATAGGAAGGACTCCATGCAAGTAAGCGCCTCGGAGCACATTCCAAAGTGGCTTCAGAAGCAATTTAAATCGCCTAAACCCATAAACGTTGGTAGCAGACGTGTACGTTCTTTGGTCGCGAAATATCTCGTTGAGACAGGTCATAGGATTGATATGGCAACTTCCCTTAGACCTGTTTACGAAACGAGTTGGGGACGGATCCTTAGATTTGTTGTGGCCTCAGGTATTCAGAAGTTTAAACCACCTTTGTGTGATTAGGAGCAATTCACTATCACATTAAATCTCCTTCAGTGGATTCAACCTTGAAACCAAATTCATTGTACTATTATTTTCGCATCAGTGATTTTCATTGTTATTTGGCCTTTAATTCAGACTTTCTACTTGATCTCTTTTCATTTTCTCACCCCTTATCTTCACGAATTTTTATAAAACTACCTATAACAAGTATGTTCCAGACAATCTACATCTTCTTTTTGTTTTGTGGAACATAATTTATTGTCCATCCTCATATCACAACTTTAAAATGTCCTTTATATAGTTGGTTCTAATTTCCTCGCCTCCTGTATGATGTAGGTAGTTAGATATTTCATGTGTCTGGAACAAGTGCTAAATCATTCCAGTTGCATATATTACGTGTTGGTTTGATTAATGCAGATTCAGTTATCAATCTCTGCCTCCACTCTACTGTGTCTTTTGATAACAGCACACACTTTAGTAACGGATGAAATTGAAAGAGATAAGGAATTTAGATAGATGAACAAGATACTTAAAATAAATAATTTTCCGGTAAAATTCATTCGTAAAATAGAAAATAACATAAAATTAGATCGGAAAACTACTCTTAAATTATGGGCTTCAGATCACACACATCGGATGAAATTAGGAGAGTGCTGAACAAATACAGTCAATATCACAGTCTTCTACAGAACATCAAACACAATTCAGAGCACCTTAGTTCATTTGAAGGTCGAGATCCCTCTGGGTTCCCAATCAAATTGTGTTTGTAATATAAAATGCTCAGACTGAGATGCAGTATTATTATTTTTTCTTTTGAGTTCCTAGTGGAACATAGGGCTTCAGCAGCACGTCACCATTTCACTCTCTTCTCTGCAGTCTTTTAAACCTGGCTCCACGGCTGCCCACAAGCTTTCATTTCTTCCTCACACCATTTCCTCTCTGTTACCCTCGGACGTAAAACTCATCGCTTCTCCTTTGAGTTCCACTCGAGGGCCTGGTGCGTGATGTCCACAATCAATCTTCTTAGTGTATGCCCAATCCATCTGCACTTTCTTCTGCATATATGTTGGGCGATGGGTTGTTGGTTGGTTTGTTGCCAGTCAGAGGGAGTTCCTTGTTGCTTATTCTTATTGTTCTGGCCATCTCATCTTCAGCGTCAGCATTGGGCGTAGGTGGTAGATATTGATGTGTGTCTGCAGTTTGTTGGATATTCTTGTCGTAACGCACCGCCAAGTCTCTCAACCATCACACAGAAGTACTGACTTACTTGACTGACATTAGTGTTGCAAATCCAGATCTTGTTCACGCTTTAGGCTCAGTGCAGTACAGTGGATCCCCACAATGATTATTTTAGATTACTGAATGCGGTCTTGTCTTACTATCATTCTGGTCATGGCTACTTTCAAATTCTTATCTGTGCCACCACCTGTAGTTGAAGTGATGCTACCTTGTCTAGGAAGTAAGCGAAAGAGACAACTTCCTTTACATTTCTCTCGTTGATGGTGATTGGTGTTTGTTGTTGCTGGAGGTGGTGGTGGTGTTTGGGTATCTTCATCACCTCTGTCTTCTCAACATTCACCTGAAGGAAATCCCGTCTTCGATGACCTGCTTCTTCCACTAACTTGTTAGTTTTTGTCTGTAGATCTTCAAGTGGGTGTGACCTTAGATATGAATCAACATCGGCGAAATCCAAATCTTCTAGTTTCTCTTCATCTGTCCGGCTAGCGTATGCTCTTCCCACTCCCCGCAGTTTTTTCCATAATCCAGTCCAGTCCACCATAATCAGGAAGATCATGAGTGATATTAGGCAACCGTGCCGTACTCCTGTCTATCTTCACTTCAGAAGCATCATTGAGTCTTCCAATGTGAATCACTTGGTATGCGGCCTCATCACATAGTATGTGGCTGTTGAATGAGATTGTTGATAAATGTCTGTGACCATAAAAGTGTAGTGTTGAAGCAGCTGCCGAATTACTTCTCGGTTGACGTTGTCGAAAACTTTTTCAAAATCGATGAAGTTAAGCTTGAGTTGAGTTTACTGCCATTCTACACTCTGTTCTATGATGATGCGTAGCATAACAATTTGATCCGCACATGATTTGTTCTTCCCAAATCACTGCCGGTTCCGGTTGTAATTTTGAATCCAGTTCACTTTTAAGTCTCTCTCTCCAGGATGATCCTCCTTAATATTTTGTTTCCTTGGGGTAAAGAGGAGCATGATTCCGTGTCAGTTCTTGCAAAGAATCAGGTCACCCTTCTTTGAGAGTTTGACAAGGTAGCCCTTCTTCCAATCAATCGGCAGGTACTTTTCCTTCCATCCTTCCTTACAAACCTTCCGCAATACAATTGGTGTCAGTATGTCCACTGCTGATGTCTCTGAGTCTGTTTTCAGTGCTTCTGGAGCAGTTCTATCTAGTCCTGTTGCTTTCTCGGATTTGATCAACATTATGGCGTTCTAAACTTCCAATCTGCTATTGTCGGAGGGTTTGTGTTCACTGATAGTTCTGTGCCTGAGCTGCTGGTGGTATTTCTGTAGGAGTTGCAGTTGGTGGTGTTGGTAGATTCAAGAGTTTTTTGAAGTGTTCAGTCCATCGTCTCCTTTGTTTCTACTCTTTGCTAACTAGGTTTCTTTCACTGGTTTCTTTCATTGGTTTCATGTGTGTTGATCTCTTCACTCCCAGATAGATAGTTACCTGGTTATTTGATGTAGTGTTGTCAGATGTCTGACTTTTATACGTGCAGCCTGTTCTGCTTCACTTGCCAGTGTGTCGCAGAAGTGTCTTTTGTCTTTTCGCGCACTCTTATTCACTTATTTGTCCAGAGTAGTGTTTTATATGTTGTATTCAATTCCTCTTTTTGTTTTTCATCCCTACACTGCACTGCACTGCACTGCACTGCACTGCACTGCACTGCACTGCACTGCACTGCACTGGTTCATCTTCCACTTCACCATCACCATCCTCCTCTCCCTGCTCTTTCAACTTCCATGTATCCATCGAGATCCATTCCTCGTCCTGTCCTGTCCTGTCTTCTTTCTTCTTCCTTCCTAATACGCTTATGCAGGTTTCTTTACACATAGCTTTCAAAGACTTCCAGTGTTCTTCCACACAGGTTTCTTCAGAGATGTTGCTTACTGTCTCCCAATTTTTTCTGGTGGCTGAAGTCAAGGCATCTCTTGTGGTTTCATCCTTCAGTTCGGTTTCTGTTGTGGGTGTTGAATTTGAACTTGAAGTGTGGTCTATCACTAGCTTCATTGAAGTCTTCCAACTTGATTAAGAGGTAGGTTGCTTGCACTAGATGGTGAGTGGTGTGAACCTACATCTGCTCCCCTTCTCGACCTTGTGTCAACTAGGCTGCCTATCCATCTCCACTTTCTTCACATTCAGATAAAGTCGATCTGGCTTTTAGTGTGTCCTGGTGTCTGGTGAAATCAAATCCATGTCGCTCGCTTTGTGGATATCATTGTGTTTGAACACACTGCATCACCTCCAATCACCAAATCGTTGAATGCACAGAATTCTGCAAACAATTCTCCATTCTTGTTCATCATGTCAACGAGTGCTTCTCGACTCATGGTTTGT